GTTGAGATTACAGGTACCCACTACCACATCTGGCTGCTTCGTATTGTATTTGAGACAAGGTATCACTGAATACTCCAGACAGGCCTTGAACTCACTATGTAGCCCAGGCTAACTTGGAACTCAAGGCAATCTTCCTGCCTCGGCCTCCCAAACACTGGCGTTACAGATGTGTGCCCTACATGGCTCATCAATAAATCTTAAATTGAAATCAGAACTTCCATTTATTAGAATATTAACCCAAGAGCATATATAATTTGATAATTCGACTGGGGTGTTTGTTATATGTCAGAAACTGTGCCAGGAGCTCTGCATGTCTCTTTAACCCTCACAGTATTCGCCTATGTACATCAATGTAGTTCAGCAATTTGCCTCCCCAGTAGCAGAGTTTAGATTCTAGCCAGGGCCCATGCACTTTGCATGTTGCAACCCCGTTTACAGCTCCTATTTATCCCAGTGGTACTGGAATTTCAGGGTCATGTCCCATGGTGATGAAGAATGAGATGGTGCAAGTGAATTTATTTAAAAGACAGAAAGGCAAGGAAGTGAAAAATATAAAAGCGGGCCGGAGATTTAGCTCAGTAGAGTTTGATCCCCAGTACCAAAAAAAAAAAAGCAAGGAACTAAGCTCCCACTAGCCAGAGAGGGTTCTGAGCAGGACAGCCCAGAGGGCTGTTTGTCTAGGAGGTTTAAGGGGTTTAGAAGGAGCCCTGGCCATCCCTCCAGGAGACTACATGGTTCTTAGGGTCCTATCTGTGCAGTGTTCACAGTGTGTGTGCACCCCTGAGCGTATGGCCCACCTGATCCCACTCTGGGGAGGTCCCCGACAGCCAGAGGCCATTTGGCAGATGTTTCTTTGAGCTCCCTGGAGGGTCTTGACTCACTGGACTCCATTTGGGGCTGCTGTCCTTACTGCCTAATAGAACCCTAACACCTGTCTCATTAATTCCTGTTACCCAACATTGTGGAGTTCTCATGATCGCGTCTGCAGCAGCCACAGCTCTCGGCTGGAACAGGCAACTCTGAGAACAACTCTTACAGCCACACTGGAGAGCTGGCCCTGTGAGAAAACCACCCATGAGGCCGCCACACACTCAAAGGTGTGAGCTTGGCTGCCCCACCACCTACCTCATGCCTCTTTAGGGCCACGGACTCCACCTGCAGGCACTGCCTCCTTGCACCAGCAAAGTGGAACCTTGAAGGGTCAGCGTGTCACCTCCCACACCTCGTTCTGAGCTCCCGTCCCAAGGACAGGGACCACGGCAAAGCCTAAGTCACACATTCATTTCTGAGCATATTTAAGAAAGCCAGGGATTCTTTTCTCCTTCAAAGGCCTGGCACCCTGCTGGAGGAAGCACATCTTCCCCAGATGAATCAGTATGGGCCTTCGGATGGGTGACAGGTAGCCATGCTGAGTAAGATGGCTGTCCACCGAATCACTAAAGCAAGGTTCGCTGAGAATCTCAGGGCTCTCCTGGGCAAATCATGGTGTAAACAAATGCTGGTGGCATGAGTGTGGTTCAAATGTGCCCTCCAAATCTCATGTGCTGGAATTCTGGTGCCCAGGTTGACCTGACTGGGAGGTAGGGCCCTTTAAGAGGCAGAGCCTCGTGGGAGATCCTGAGTTCACTGGGGCTCTTCTGGGAAGGAAATGCACCGACTTTCACCAGAGGGCTGTTGGGACAGCAGAGCCCTGCTCCACCCCATCTTTGTGGCTTCCTGTTGGTAGATACAATTGCTCCCTCACTCCTGGGTTTCCTCTGTGATGTGACATAACCAAGAAGGCCCTGATGCCAGAGCTGGGTTGGTGCCACTGCCAAGCCTCTGAACCCCCAAAACTGTAAGTTAAATAAATCTCTTTTATTTACAGTTAGCCTTCCTTGGGTAATCGTTATTAATACCAAAGGGATTAATACAGCACGGCTAAATGGAATAGCTGAGAGGACAAGGCCACAGAACTAGGCTTGTCCACAGGCAACAGAGGGACCAGTCATCAGTGCCAGAGAAGTCGCCACCTGACCAAACACTCCTTGCTGCATGGTCTTTGAGGACACAAATGTCCGCCTTGCCGTTCTGCACCAGGTAGGTCCCCTCCCCACGGCAGTGGGCATGTCTTGCTGTGATCGTCATGCTTCCTGGGGGTGTGTTTGGGTGTAGTCCTGCCAAGGCCTTCAGGTAGGGTCTGTGTCTTCGCTGCAGGTTTGCAGGCGGGTGGTATACGTGTCAATCATCTGGAAAAGATCTGTGTTCTCCCACAGGAATCCAGATCTTTCAAGATGGTCTTGGCAGGAGAGAAAATCCCTACTTTCTGGGATCTGGATATGGGGGAGTGAAGGTATGAGCAGGAGATTTGGAGGTGGGAGGAGAGGGGACTCTGCCACCCGACAGCAGGCTGGGAAGTGGGCTCAGTGGCAAACTGGAAAGGGCCTCAGGGAAGGTTGTCCCATCCCAGGGACTGTTTTCCCTCCCTGTCCCTTGAGGAAAGTGGTGAGTGGAGGAGCCAGGCAGGGGGTATTATGTCATCTCTGGGGCTACCCTTGGGCCACAGGTATAAAGGGCTCGCCAGGGTGGTGGTGGCAGTGGTAAAGTCAGTATCTGATGGCTACATATGAGGCTCAGGTGTTCACCTGTCCCCTCAATTATAGGTGTTTGAGAATTCAGTGGAATGATGGATTCTCCTTCAGGACCTCATTAAATGTGTGTTGGACGAACCACACGTTATCAAAGGGAAAGGTAATACTCCTAGGGATGGGTAAATCAGCCTGAGTCAGCAAGGGTCAGGCAGCACCGACATATTCCAGAAGGTGTCTGAGGCTCCATGAGGGCACTTGGTACCAGGGTCAGTAAGTAAAGTGCCCAAACACAGAGGCAGGATTAGGGGGACATAGCTACCCCTAAGACTTGGGGGCACAATGACAATGAAAAGGAAGCGTGATGCAACTGCTCTCTCAAGGGATTTTGATTTTAGTTCTGCAGTAACAGCAAAACAGGCCAAGATGGCAGGGAACAGAACAAGGGCAAAAGCTAATCCACACTGCTGGGAAACAGAAGTCATGGTGATTTGAGACACTACCCTCAGCTTGTTGATCCAGAGTCCTTGTCTTGAGTTTGAAGAATGCAGTGTAGATATTGGAGTCATGAAAAGACTGAAACCATTCAGAGTTTGATGTGTCTATTAGTGCTTTTTTAAATCTCAATAAAGTTGGGCCAGGGATATAGCTCAGTGGTGCCGTGCCTGCCTGGCAAGTGCAAAGTCCTGAGTTCAATCCCCAGTCCTAGGGGGAGAAAAAAAATAAAGCCAGGCAAGGTGGCACAGGCCTGTAATATCCACACTGGAGAAAGCTGAAGCAGAAAGATTGCAAGTTCCATTCCCCTTTGGGCAACTAGCAGGATACCATGTCAAAATAAAACATTAAAAAAGCTGAGGATGTAGCTCAGTGGTAGAGTGCCCCAGGTTGGATCCCCAGTACTGCCAAAAAACGAAATCACTAAAAAATAAATTATCAAGCCAGGCATGGTGCTCACACCTTTAATCCCAGCACTCGGGAGGTTGAGGCAGGAGGATAGCTGTGAGTTGGAGATCAGCATGGGCTACATAGTGAGTTCCAGGTCAGTCTCAACTACATAGTGAGACCCTGTCTCAAAAAACAACAACAACAACAACAACAAAATAAATTATCACTTAATTGAAAAGATGACAGTGAAAACTAACAATGGTCAATGCCAAGGTAAGTGCTCGATTCCAATTCAAAAAACTCTGATAAACTGGCTCAAGTACTTTCTCTGGCCTAAAATTTGGGTAAATGAATCTGTTTTTACATAAATGAATTTTCCCTTTCAACATGAAGACTGTCACAGTCAAATTTGATATCATTAATCAAAAATATTTTTAAAAGCCATTTATTTAGCCAGGCATGATGGCGCATGCCTGTAATCCCAACACTCAGGAGGCTGAGGCAGGAGGATAGCTGAGAGTTCGAGACCAGCCTGGGCTACATAGTGAGTTCCAGGTCAGTCTCAACTGCATAGTGAGACCCTGTCTCAAAAAACCAAAAAAAAAAAATCCATTTATTTAGGTGGTCAGCCAAAAATGATTATTATGTTAATACAAAAATGGAGCATTGGCTAGGGATTTAGCCCAGTGGTCTTGCCGCCTGCCTCGCAAACACAAGGACCTGAGTTCGATCCCTGGAACCAAAAAAAAAAAGAGCATTGAATAACCGTTAAAGTAACTTTATTAATATAGACATTTACAAACATTAAGTGCATTGTGCTGAAATTAAGTGTTCTGGTAACCTTATCTTCCCATTGTCCAATACTGGAAATAGTTTCATTTTTGCTGCAATACAATTAAGACTTTTATATCAAACCCCAATTTTTTAACAAAATTCACAGACTATAGTCTGTTAAAATGTTTTGGAACAATGGCTATTATAAAGCTGTATTACTGAGCTGGGCATGGTGGCACATGCCCATAATCCCAGCACTCAGGAGGCTGAGGCAGAAGGATCACTGCAGAATCAAGGCCAACATGGGGTACATAGTGAGTTCAAGACTAGCCTGAACTGCACAGGCTAGTGACAAAAATAATAAAGCTATATTTCATGCTGTTCAGTTTTATTTACATAAGTATTATTGAAGCAAAGTAACTGATTGAATTAAAAAATTATGTGAACTAATGTCCCATTATCTATGCAAAAAGACTTGAAATTTCCTTTTGACAATGTAGGTTTATTTGTTGATTTAACTATCACACACTTTACAAAATAACTTGTTCTTTTAAAATCAGAGTACTGAGTGCCATGCTTCTGAATTACATCTATGCCAAAGCATTCTAGAAACAGACCAGTTACTCTTCATCAATTTCTACTTCCTCCTAAGGTGACCAATTGGGTGGCAAAGCAATTATCCAAGTCTTTAAAAGCTAGCTTTTTCCCTTTCTTTGTTTCTTCCTTCTGAGACAGGGTCTCACTATGTAGTTCAGACTGGCTTTGAACTCACTATGTAGCCCAGGCTTGTCTCAAACTCATGCCTTGACCTAAATACTTGGATTACAGATGTGCACTACCAAGCCTGGCTAAACATTAGATTTTCTGGAAGTGGACAGGACATAATAATATCCTAAATTTCAATCTCTTGTCATTAGCCAAAGATACAAATGCATAAAATTCAGATACTGTATCTTGTCTTTATTTATTAAAGGGTCCCCTAAGGCAGGTTAGGATCACTCAAAAGCCTCTAAGGAGTCTGATTTAACTGGAGAGACTTAAGGAATTTCTAAATCAACTAACTTGCTGGATCATTCTACAGCCGATGCATAATGAAACTAGGCAAGAAAAAGTACAACCCAGATGTTTGGTTTTTTCTTTTTCATTCAGTACCCAGAGAGAAGACCTTATAATAAAAAGAATGCAGCAATCAAACTAATTTCCTGATCTTAATCTTCTCACCTATAAGGATGTTCTCTAAAAGTCTTAAAACAGTTTTGGGTTTTAATAAGCTTAGGAATACAACTGCAGTACACTCATATAAAAGGAAGGTCATGTAGATGTTTAGTTGGTTACATTTCACCATACTTCTTCAGTTTTGTGTCTTGATAATATTCAGGATTTTTTGTCGTTGAAGTACCTGTGTTTGACAATGGCAAACCATAACTGCTTCTCAGTTATGAGAGCCTAAAACTACACTGACTTTTAGAATTTTGTATGACTCCCAAGACTGATCTCAGTTCTAGCTCTTTCACCTGACTACTGATACCTTAACTCTGAAATGGATTGTTTCCTTTAGAAGTGAGATTTTTTTTTTTTTTTTTGCTATATCCTTTTGAGCAGAGCTGATCAAAAATTTCTCTGACTCAGGGCTGGGATTTAGCTCAGTGGTGCCATCGTTTGCCTCGGAAGTGCAAGGTCCTGAGTTCACACTTGATACCAAAAAAAAAAAAAAAAATCTCTCAGTTTCTTAGCTTTCTCACACACAACTGGGAGTGTGAGTAGTTTGGTGACAAACACAAAGGCACATGAGTAACCCAGCCTTTATGTTTGATGTCAGTTGAAAATGAACTGGAGCTGTAGTGTGATAGCAAATATTCTAGTGGTCATATTTTAATAAGTTTCCACAGATTTATCCAGTTTAAAAAACCTGTCTTGACCCCAGGGGTTTTCTCTTCTCCCTGATTGTCGTTTGAGTTTTTATCTTCAATTTCTTTTGTTTTGATAAGAGTCTCATATATTTTCTGGGCTCTGCTAATTTCTTTCTGTGCATCAAAATGAACTTTTTGCCTGGTCAGGATGGGAACAATTAAATTAAAATCATTAATTCGCTTGTTTAGTTTTCTAATGTTTTCTTCAAACTGTTCACAAACTTGGTTCCACTGCTTCTGTTCAGTTGGTGTCATTGGATTCCCAAGTTTTTTCCTAGACTCTAAAACTGTGTCTCGGAGTTGCTCAATAGTATCGTTTATTTCCTTTTGCATTAGGATCCATTCTGGTTGGTATCCATTATCTATTAATATTCTGTTCAGGTTGTGGGTCATGGGATCAATATATGAACAGCCAGAAAACTTTTGCAGAGGTTTTCCCTTCCCACTGAGATTGTCAAAGTCCCCTTTTGCCATTGATTCCTGAATGAGGTCCTCCACTAAACGCTCTATTGCTTGAGTTATCTTTTGTTCTCTGCTCTGTCTTACATCTTTAACAGTTACGCTGTTAGCAAATTGCTGCCTCTGCAGTTTCTGCTTTTGATATTCCATCACCTGCTCTGTTGCACGGTCTGCCCTGAATTGCCTATACTGCTTCTCTCGCTGACTCGGAGTCCCAAAACCAACACCTTCAAAACTTAAATAATGCCGGTGTTGGGGTGTGTTATATTTGAATTTTTCTTCTTCTTCTGTTTCTTCCACTATATTGTGTCTGGCATTTGTTTGCTCCATCACATGGGAAAGCACATTCCTATAGGCTTCTTCAATCCGTATAAATGTTGCAGAGTCTGCGGCACTAGAACTGCTGTCTGGATGGTATTGTTTTGCAAGCTTACGAAAAGATTCCCGGACATCTTCTACAGAGCATCCTTCTTCTAGATTCAGCACCCTGTAATAGTCGCTGATCTTCTTTTTAGACTTATGGGTTGATATCATTCTATTTCTAATGGCACCAAAGCAGGAAGGCATTTTCACTCGATCCAGAATCAGTGAAGAATTTATCAGATGAGTTAAGATCTGAGCCATCGCACACATTGTGTTCATTATTGTACCCAGTGTTTTTAATGATCTGTAAAACAACACAGGTTGAACAAAGTTGTATTATCAATTAATTTCTTACTTTCAGTAATAGGATGTGAAGTTTCAAGTACAGTTTTTTCCAATGCTGCTGCCAAAATGCTTATAACTGTATTTTACTAATTAGAGAAACAAAGGTTGATGATGTTAAGCATTAACATATTGTGAGATAATCTGGATTCTACTCTTCGTTAACCACAGAATTTTAGAACTGGAAAATTCTTAGACATCACCCAACTCAATCTTCTCATTTTATGAGAATAAATGTTAAGAATAAAGGTCCAGGGCTGGGGATTTAGCTCAGTGGTTCCACTGCCTGCCTCACAAGTGCAAAGACCCGAGTTCAATCCCTGGTACCAAAAAAATAAATAAATAAAAAATTAAGGTCCAGAATGTTAAGTAACCTAACCAAGTCACATTACAGAGGCATCAGCAAAATAATTAAGGTCAAGACACAATGCAGATGTTTGCTTAATTGCCACCTTCAACGGATTATAAACTTCATTAGCACCATTTCTTTGGTGACTTTATCACGGTCTTTATCCTTTCAAGTAGTTTTCTCATAAGACTTAACGCACATGAACAGACCACTGGAAAGTATATACCTAGTCAGATTCTAGGTTGAACAGAATTGAGTCCAAAAAACTTTAAGCTTCACAGCTCATTAGAAAGAGCTATTTCCTAGGTAACAGGAAAATCAGAATGAAAGGTAAGCGCCTCCCGAAATACTCACTGCTGTGTAGTAAAATGATTCTAGCCAGATGTGGGGGCGCACGTCTTAATCCCAATAGTACTCCAGAGGCTGGGGCAGGAAGATCGCAGCAAGTCCAGAGCCAGCCGTGGGCTCCGTAGGGAGAGCTTGTCTCAAAACACCAAAACAAAATAAAATGCATGGTCCTACAGAGATGAAAGACATCTAATGGCAACGACATACTGAGATGGCCTAACTCATACGTAAACGTTAAAACACCCCCTCCACGAATAGTTGGGATCCATGGATTGTAGAGTTCGCTGGGATGGATTCGGTTAAATCTGTGGCAGCGGTTACAGGTGAGAGTCAGCGGAGGAGGGAAACGTTACCCTCCAGTCCTCTACTCACCTTCACAGACCCAGGAAAGGGGCTCGGCGGCGTCCGCCACCATACTTCGCTCTGCGCATGCGTGCGCGGCTCGCCTGACCCTTGGCGGGTGAATCCGCGTAATCCCGCAGCTGGGTCTCTGCTGGGCTAGACTACCTGGAGCTCTACACGGGGTGACCTTCGGGGTGCAGAGATCTTACCAGGGTTACTGGTAATCTCACTTACTGCGGACTTTCCCCATGAGGACACAGAAAGGACGCGTGGGGAGGCTCCGTCCCACGCCGAGCGAAGAGCTCCATCTTCGCCTCCTCCCCTAGCCCAGGTGGCTAGGGCGGGCGGGGCTGGGCATTGTGGGAATTGTAGTTCGCCTTCAGGTGCCGTGCGGCGCAGCGCCTCACCGGAAGGACCTGGACTCGTCGTAGGTGGTACAGAGGTCGCGGCCGTGGGGGTCACTCCTGTTGTCCCAGCTCCCTGGAGGCTGCGCGAGGAGGCCAGCCTGAACTATGTAGGGGACCGTGTCTCAAAAATATAAATAAGCCGGGATTTAGCTCAGTGATGCCGCGCGTGCCTCGCAAGCACAAGGTCCTGAGTTCGTTCCCCTGTACAAAACAAAACAAAAAAAATACATTTTAAAAATTGATTCAGAGGCGGGAGGGCATGCTCGGGTAGATTTAGTACCTTCGAAGTTTGCAATGTGCAGGACAGGGGATTTTGGTAACTTGTTTTGAGAGGAAGATTAGGACATTTGCTACCGGAGGACCTGGGTAGCCCCTTCTAGTTTGTAGAAGAGGACACCTGCGCACATTCATCAGTGATCTTGCCCGAGATCTCGAAGCTACTTGGTACCTACCGCACTCAGCTGTTTTATTTTGGGTTTTGTTGTTTGTTTTGTTTTGACTTTTGGAGACAGTCTCACCTTGTAGTGAAGGCTGGCCTTGAGCCTATTAGTAGCCCAGCCTGGCCTCGAACTCAGGCAGCGATCCTCCTGTCTCAAGGGCTGCTGAGTGCTGGGATTACAAGCATGCATCATGCCTGGCTCATTCAGGCCAGCCTTGAACTCAATGAAGCCTAGGCTGGGCTAAAAAATCGAGGTGATCCTCCTGCCTCAGCCTCCCCAGCACTGGGATTACAGGCACACACTGCCTGTAATTTGTGAAAAACTTCACAGATCTTTAATTTTGAGGTACTGGGGGTGAAACATAGGTCTATGTGCTTGCTAGGCAAGCACTGTACCACTAAATATCTCATCTCTTAATTTAGTACATACTTATTGAGTAGGTTGCACAGCCAGGCATTGGTAGGAGTTTAAGGACAGGCTAGAGAAGAAAAAAAAAAAAAAAAGAAGAAGAAGAAGAAGAAAAAGAAGAGTCTACTTCAGTGTAACCACTGTCAGGATTAAACATCGCTCTCTCCCACGCTGTACATGGAGCAACTTTTTGTTTGTGTTTAACGAAAAAGGGACTTGGGGATTTTTAGACCTGGTTTGAAATCCTTTTCCTTCCATTTTCCATGTACCTTAAGCAAGATATTTAGTTGCCTATCTGTAAAATGAGGGCACTAATAAATAGTAAATTGGGTATTTAATATTTACCATTTGCCAGACCCAGTGCTAAGTGCTTTATATATGTTCTTGTAATCTTTACAACAGCAAATATATTATTTCCTCACATATGTATGATGAAATCACTGCCTTGAGCTCACTGCTTTTTGCCTTGGTGAGAAGTACACAATGTAAATCAATTGGTGCATGAAGCTGCACAATCCTATTCTTTCTGTGAAAGGGGCACCTTCAGCTGCAAAGTGGAAACCAGCTAACCCTGGCTTGGGTGATTTTTCTCCTGTGATGATGGGGACACATCCCAAGAAATACAGTGATTTCCTCCTTGCACACATCCCCCTTTTTTTTGAGAGAGAGAGGGTCTTGCTGTGTGTCTCAGGCTGGCCTCAAATTCCTGGCAATCTTCCCGCTCAGCCTGGAGAATACTGGGACTACTGGCATGAACCACCATGCCTGCTACAAACTTAAATGATAAACAGGTCAGTCACCTGTCGATGCCTCTCCACCCCAGCACAAGACACGGTAAACACAGTGGATGTGGCTGCTGCCAGTGCAGTGTGGCATTCGGGTTTTCATTTAAACTTTTTGTTTTGTTTTTGGTACCAGGGATCAAACTCAGGACCTTGTGCTGGTGAGACAGGCGATGGAACCTGAGCTAAATCTCTGGGCCTCGAATGTAAACTTTGAAAAAAAAATTTTGTAGTAAGTAAATGGATTATCCTGTAGAGTCATGGTAACAAGGCTAGCATAGTAAATACACCTTAATAGGATTTCTTTCTTTTTTTTTTTTTTCTGGTACCTGGAATCAAACTCAGGACCTTTCTCTTGCAAGGCAGGCGGTGGCACCACTGAGCTAAAAGCCCCAGCCCTAGGTGAGAGGGGTCTTCAGCCGTTACAGTGTCATGTGGTCCACTGGTGCACATTTCTGTACGAGAAGTGTGCAGATAGGTGCCACTAGTCTTGGCTCAACTGCTGAGAGTTGACACATTTGCCTTACCATTGTTGTGTGTGTTTTCTTACTGAGTAATTTAAAAGTTAATTGCATACATCATGTCCCTTTACCCCACTCCTCCAAAAACATTTATCTTGAAAATGAGGACATACTCTTTTTCAACACGGATGCAGTATTATCCGATCTACAATCTAGTATTGTGATTTCACGAATTGTCCTAATGATACCCCTGAGAGCAACATATGGACTCTTCCATCAGCAGGTCAAATGAATGATAAAGCTTTTTTTTT